GCATTTCTCTGCATCAGTGCTTTATTTCTGAATGGTGAAGTAATCACAGTTTTTCAAATTTGTTCCATAGGATATTAATAAGACCTATGTAAGAAAGGGGTTTAGTATTTTTATATGTTTGCAAACAATGGTTTAAATTAAATAGGTAAATTTATTGTAGATGTAAATTTATTGCTGAGGTGTATCATAAACCTTCAAGGGTGATTTATAGGATGCCATGTGTCTCAGAGTTATTTGATGACAGAACTTCTTTTATACTCCTAAGTAGCACCTTGAGGGACTAGTCTTTTTCAGAACATACGTTGGGAAAGCCTGGATTAAACTGATTTAGAGAAAAATAATTTATTTTTTCTTTATCAAATATAGTCATATAAAACAGCATTAGTATAAGAAATATCTAACTTAAAAAGAGGTTATATTTTTAAAAATTACTTTTAAGGTATTTGTTTGGAACTCAAACTGTCTTTTTCTTATAGAAAAATTACCATGAATTATGGCTTGGTACTTGGGACAGTTCCAAAATGAGTCTCTAAATGCCTCCCCCACAGCTTTTCTGGTTTCAATGTTCCATGTTTTTAGAAACATTAATTTAGAAATAATTAAATATCTCCAATGAAAAATAGAAAGTAATATATCTGCAATGGTAGAAATTAAAGTTGAATAAAGAAATTTGAGGAAAAACAGATTAAAGGAGAATAAGGAAGTAGACAAGAACTCTGTAAATCTCCTGAAGGTATTTGTTTTTTACATATAACCTAATTAAAAAATACGTATCTTACATTTCCTTGGAAGGGGCATATTACCAGTACTAATCTTCTGCCAACCAGTCATCACCAGGGACTTTTTTGAGAAAGAAGAAATGAAAGAACGAGTGAAAAAAGGAGAGAAAGAAAAATACTTCGGAGATAACTGGTTAAAACAAAAAAAGAGAAGGAGCAAAAATGTTAAAAAGATGATGTACATAAGGGAAGAAGACTGCCCAAGATGAAACTGAGCCGCCAGACAGTAGGCTCCTTACTGGAAGGTCGGCTGTTAGGAGACAGCGGGGAATAGGCTGGGCCAGGCTGGGCTGTGTGTCAGCCAGCAGAGGGCACTGCCGGGAGGCTCAGGAAGGGAGAAAAGAGGATGTTGAAGATGGCTGGAAAGCAGGGACCAACTGGCACATGGCCATGACAGGGGAGTTCCTGTATTCAGCACTTTAATACACTTTAATACTTAGAAATACCTTATTTCAGATCTATTCTTAGCTTAATTTTCCTAAAAAAGCTTATTAGACTAAGAATTTAAATAATTCTCTTGTTTTCCTATGAGAAGTCAGGATTAAACTCCCCAACTTGAAGGAAGGATTTGAATTTAGGCAGTCTGACTCCAGGATCTCTGGACTCTTTAGTACTACTCCGTAAGTCTTGTTTTACCGTAGTTATTAAACTTCACAATCATCTTCAGCTGAGAAAAACAAAATAGTCTATGTAGAATGACCCTCCCAACCCTTCACTAAGATCCTGTAACAAGGAGGGCTTTACAGTTCAAATCACTAGCAGTGAAGCATTCTTTTAAACACAACTGCATTTTTATACAATTACATTTTCACAATTCAAATTCTGGATTTATCCTTTATGTGAAAAGAAGGCAGACATTTTATAAAAAAAAAGCCAACTATTAAATGAAAAAAAAATCACATGAAAATAAATTTGAAAGAGAAAGTCAAAACAATTTTAATTTAAAAATGAGACTACTTTTATATCTAACTGAGCTAAAGGATGCTGATACTAGGTTATCAGGGAAGAAAATATTTCGGGGAGTCATTTTTAAAGAATGATCTCTGAAATACATAAAGATATCAACTTTAATAGTATAAAGATTTCCTATTCATAACAATGGCACTTTTTTGCCATTACAAGAAAATGATAATGTGATAGTATACTATAAAGGACCTACAAAGATACACAGACTAAGAATACTCTTCCTGCTTAATGATAAAATAATCATTTTATAGAAAATAACCACATTTTTAAAATACCTTTAAAAAGCTATTTTTAAATTCAGACTTTTAAATAAAAGCATTGTACCATTTTAAAATTCAATGGGCTCTTTATATAGTAAGGTGGGTTTATTAAAACAGGAATCTCAATGAGTTTTTCCTATTTAATATCTTTCTATTTAAGGTTTTTTGAGTCATCATCTTTTATATATTTTTAAGGTCCATAGAATGGAAGGGAAGAGGCAGTCTGGCTTGAAGCTTTGATCTGAGAAATTTAATCTCATACTCTTTGTGTATAAATTGGATTCATACAAAACAATATAGCTATGGCTAAGCTAATAAAGAAAGGACCTTCAGAATTCTAAGAATAGATTATATTTTATATCTATTTTAAACTTCTAATTGGTTAGAAGAATCTCAAAATAAGAAGTCCTTTGTAGACACTTTATCAAAATCTGTAAGCATAGGTAAAATAGAATATACTGACCCACAGGTTCTAATTTTAGAATGAATCACTACTGAAAGTAGCTTTAAACTCTTCTGGTGTTGAGTACTTTCATTTTAAAAGGTTGAGGTAAACATCAGATTAAACATAGACCATCAGAATTATCTTTGCCTTGTCTGGTAAGGCTGTTCAGTAAGGCGACAGACTCAATTTATGCCTGTTAATCCTGGTGTCATTGGTATAGCATCCTTTTACTCTAAAAAATGTGCTAATTTGGAAAATAAATTAGATAGATACCCTATCTCAATAAACAAAAAACTGTTTATATGGTTCTAAAGTCTACATTTTCTTTTCAATCATACATGGGGACACTTTCATGTGTCATTTCACCTTTTCAAATAAAATTGACTTTACCCAATTCCTTACTACTAGAAATTCATACTGTTTCTGATTCTTTATCATAATAAATAATAAATATCCATGGAGATAAATCTTTGTGTGTATCTACAGGTTATTTTCTAAAATTGGAATTTTTCTAGGTCAAAATGTGTGCATATTTCTAAGTAATTTGGAACATAATGCCCACATTTGCCTCCAGAAAATCTGTGCCAGTTTATACTCCCAGCAGCAGAATGAGGCCTATTTCCAATGTAAGCTTTTCTGCTTTTTAAAAATCTTTGCAAACTCTATGTGTGAAAGAAAAATGGTATCTTCTTGTTTTAATATTTTTCTGACTACTGAATTTGAAGCTTAAAAATATCTTGGCCATTTGTGTGTCTTCTGTTGTGAATTGCTTATTTATATATTTGGTCAGTTTGTTAATAGGGTATTTCTCTTTCTCTTACAGATTTGTGAGAGCTCTATTAATAACCTTTTATTTGTAAAAAGGTTAATTTAATTATTTTAATCTTATTTTTTTAAAACTTTTTTATTGAAGTATAGTTGATTTATAATGTTTCATTAGCTTCTGGTATACAGCATAGCGATTCTGTTATATATATGTTCTTTCTCATTACAGATTACTGCAAGTCACTGAATACAGTTCCCTGTGCTATACAATAGAACCTTATTGTTTATCTATTCTGTACATAGTAGTGTGCATCTCTCAATACCAAACTCAATTTCTCTCTCCCTCCTCCCTTTGCCCTCTGGTGACCATAAATTAGTTTTCTCTGTCTGCAAGTCTTTTTCTGTTTTGTAAATAAGTTTATTTGTGTCATTTTTTTAGATTCCACATATAAGTGAGACCATATATTTGTCTTTCTCTGACTTACTTCACTTAGTATAATAACCTCTAGGCCCATCCATGTTGCTGCAAATGACATTACTTCACTCCAAAAAAAGGTTAACTTTAGATAAATAATGTTACAATGTTGTTTCCTGGCTCCAACATAAGGTTCCTGTTGAACTCTCCCCTCTAACCCTGCATCTTTCTCTTTCTATCTTACCTCTGGTTAACATCTGGTTAATAAGTGTTTCAGTGTTTTATATAAAGATCCATATATAGATACTCTCTTTACTGTCCTCCTCCAATCATATAAATGTAACTTCTTCCTTTTCATTATAAACATATTAATTATGAAACACATTAAGCCTTGAAGATGTTAGTTTCCAGTTGAGAATTGGAGAGACACTGATTTTTGACTTTACCTACTGTATTCTAGTTGGGCGGGTCTAATCAACACATGATCTAAAATGCTGTTAATAAAATATATTCTCCTAGGAAATGTGACTCAGAAGGAATCTATTAGCAGAAATCAGTCGAAGATAAAAACAAATAAAAATCTATGTAGATCGATGAGTTTTAGGAAATTATAATAATTGACTAATTATAGGAAAAAAATCTACAATTTCAGAGAACCTACATAATTTTCAGAAGAGTGAGGAAGGAATGCAAAGGAGTTCCTGGGAATTTTTTTGTTTTGGCTTGAGAAATATTTATTGTCAAGTAACATAAACTAGGCAGGGGGTGGCAGGTGTCCCTTTAGGTGGATAAATGAAAATTCCCTCATTCCAAACAACTTTATTTAGTATTTTCTTATACAATCTGTTAAGACATATATATATTAGAAAATCTTCCAGTTTGCAGGTAACTTTTAACTCTTACGATGTATGAAATGGCAAGTAGTGATAATGGTGTATCAAGATTATAGAGAAGAAAATTTGCATTATAGCTGAATATAAAATAATATTTAAAGAAAATGATTTAAACAGTGCTTATTAATCAACTAACCTATAAGGTGATAGAATTACTAAGAATAGTCTAGGACTCATTGCAGACAACTCTCTACAGAAACTGGACTATTTAGCGACTAGAGCCAAAAAGATAAACAAAATACCAAATATCACTAAGAAATATATTAAAGAAAAACTAAGAAAGAATTATCCCAACATTTAGTAATCTTTTGCAGTTCTGGTCATTGTCCCTCAAGAAAGCAGAATAAGGATAAAAAGTTCAGCAAATTTGGAAATGGGGTGGGGAAGTTCTGTATGAGGAAAAACTAGTAAAGGAAACGGTAAAGAAATGCTACCAAAAAGAGAAGTGTATATTCATAAGACTACAAAGATGACAATAAGAGAGACACATAAATATACATAATTGCACATGCATTTCTTATAAAAACAGAAATGAGGAAAATAATAGGGGCTGCCTGGAAATAGATGGAGCCAGAAAGTGGCAGAGAGATGACTCTGTGATAATTGCTTTGGGACAAAGGGGAACCAGCAAATGATGACTAAGAAACTGAAGAGATTAAAAATACACATCAGGCAAAAGAGCAATAAAGAAGTGTGCTCAAATATGCAGGTGATATGAAATAAAAGAGAAAAGGAGGGCACTGATCTAAATTAACTGTAAAGAAATTTAAGACCCTGGAATAGGCTTTAGTTAAATGAAGTGAAAGACTGGTATCAGGAAAAAGGAGATCAAAAGAACTTCCTTATTTTGCTAATTTCCAGATGTATGTTTGTGTCACATTTTAATATATATATTTTAAACATAACATATGCTGTGTTATCTTTTTCTTTCACCAAAATCTATTTATAAATTGATGGTAATTTTTTGCAATTGATGGTGCCTTAGAATGTAGTATTTAGATGTTATTGACTTTAAGTGTTACTGAATTTAAAGTACTCTGCTAAAGTAGATAGACACTAACACTCTGTATAACTTCCTCCAAATTTATGATGGCTTTATTCTAGTATCTTTAACAAAAATTGCTAACTATCCCTATCCGAATGTTGCTGTTCTAGGCCTATGGTTATGCTTATAGACATTAAGAACCTTGTGAAACAAATATGACAGAAAAAATCTTAAGATTCTGAGGAGAAATATGTTCATAGCATCAACATTGAGGGACTTTTGTAGCATTGTAAAAAAAAATTAGTAGTTTCAAAGTGGATGGAATAATCCAGAAGTGAAATCCTCACATTTTAGGAGGTGGTTGTAGAGAACCAAGTGATATACAAATCCCATCTATAAAGTCATGAACCTGAGTATCTTATGTGGCTTACTTTATTGTCATATGTTGGTTGTGAATCTTTCGAAGGAAAAAATGACTATAGTAAGTGAAGGCAAAAGGAACTTAGGAATAGTATCCTCATTTTTCAGATGTGAGTTTGACTCACGGTGGAATGAGTTGCTCAAGGTTATGAACAAGTCAGCAGGGTCTCTGACCATTTTGCCTACTCATTTTCCAGTGTTATTACAAATCAACATTTACAGAGTTGCATTACTTACCAAGCATAGTAGGGTAGATATCCACAAGAGAAACCACATTGGACACTTGCAGGTTGGCCTTAATTCCCGGTCCCATTATCAAGAGTGGCACATGGGCACTAGCTTCGTACATACTCATTTTATAAAACTGACGATGTTCCATGGCCAGCTCTCCGTGGTCTGAGGCATATATGACAATAGTTTTCCGAAGAAGATCTAACTGACGAAGGGCCAAAATAACTTCACCTATAATATAAGTCAAGATCAATCTTAATTAGCTTTCAGCTCCTGTTTTATTCTATCGCAGTAAGTTCAGACCCTACAAGAGTTTGTCAGGATGCTTCTTAACATCTGAGTGTTATCTACTGCTCTTAAGCAACTTTGCGAGGTTTCCCGTGCCTGCTCCTCAGCTGATAGACTAGAGAGAGAAAGCAGAAAATACAATCCCCAAAGGTTAAGTTACTTTATTTGGAGATCACGTTGACTTGCTTCCTATGTTCCTGTCAGAGAATGGGGAGAACATTACCCCAGTGACTCCAGTGAGAAATGGAAGACAAGCCTGGATGTGGGCACTGTGCACATCTCACGAAAGTACTGATATCACCGTTGACCCACAGTTGCTGCCCAGTGGGAGGGGATAAAAAGGGTAAGAACTCCTCCTCCCTGCTACCCTTTCTCTCAAATCACCAATCACCAGATATCATGCCCAGGAAGTTAGCTGAGGGTTATGGAAATCCCACCTTTGAAGAAGAGCTGGAAGCAATACAGATGGCATAGGAATATAATTGGCATGTTGTTGGACAGTACAATTCCTCTGACCAGTCCCTGTCTCTTAGTGTCATGAAACTTCCTCCTCGTTGTAATTAAGAGAACATAATAAGGCACAGTCCAAAGAGAAGAGTCATCTCTGTTTTGGCAGTTCCTGAATCTGGCCTACAGGGGTCTGTATGGTTAAAAAAAAACCCAAAAAACAAAAAAACCCCACAAAACCCACAGGTGATTCTGAGCTCTGATCAGATCTGAGACCCACTGCTTATGGAGTTCAGACCATCAGAGTCTTTGACCCAGACAACTGTAATTGCTTCCTAAGTGGTTTTCTTGCCTCTGTTCCTCTTTTCCCTCCTAATATTCCCTGTACCACTCCGGTAGCTATCTCTCTGAAATATCTGATCAGGTCACATCCCAGCTGAAAACTTTCCCACAGCTTCCCACTGTCTAGTCTTCAGAAAGTTCAGCACCTTCAGCTACCCCTAGACCTTTCCCAATGCTAAACTACTTAGAACTCCCTGAACGAATAATAATTCATTTAGACTTTCTGTACATACTCTGCCTTCTATGTCTCTCTCCCACACTCTACATGGCACATCCCCATTCTTCCTTTAGGACCCAGCTCAAGCATTACTCCCTGCTCCTCCAGGTAGAGCGATTCACTGTCCCCAAGACCCCTACAACTTCTTACTGCTTCAGTTACAACACCATGTTATAACTGCTAGTGCTTAGACTCATTCAGTACGTGTTGACTGAGTTTTTCCTATATGCCAGGCACCACAGATGCAAAGCTAGGCACGTAGGATGCAATGATGAATAAGAATGAATGTCCCTGCCCTCATGAAGCTCATATTCTTCAAGGGAAATGGACAGTAAACAATAGGCAAAATAATTAAAGATTATGATGTAAACAAGCAAGGTGATAAAGGGTAGAGTCAGTAAGATGATGTGGCTGGTATACTAATTTAGAGTGGCTGGGAAGATATCCCTGAGGAGGTGATATCTGAGCTGACAGCTAAAGACTGAGAATAGTCAGCCCTGTAAAAAACGAAGGGAAGGGCATCTTAGGCAGAGGGAGCAGCAGATACAAAGGCCCTGAGGTGGGGTAAGAGGTTAGAGTGATTTTAATTAATGTTTGATTTCTTAATAATATTCAGCTTAGTACCACCAGTGTTCAACATAGTGGCTGAAAGCTAGCAAATACAGTGAACAGTAATAAATACTATTGAGTAACCAGTACAGTGTCAATTTAACAAACGGATACAGTCTATTCCATAAACTTTGTAACGTGAAGTAAGTGGCTGCATTTTTTTTCTCTGAAGAGACTTCAAGAGGTATTCCTACACTTCCTGCAGCAATATTTTATATATATAATATATCACTTTAAGGATGAATGGATAGCAGCAAACTTTCAAAAATGATTTCCAGGGTGCAAATGGGTGACTATTTACTAACATTAGAAAATACTGAAATACCATTTGGTATTTGTATGGATTTAGGATTGAAGAAATTCACTTAAAATCTTATTTGCATTTAAGATTGCATAGCTGGAAAGTCCTTAGGACTTTTAATACATATTATACTTGCAATATTATAAATAGTTTATTCGTATGACTTTTTTGCTGTCTGCTTTATACTTTTCTATTTTTGCCCAATGAATGCTTTTTAAGAAATAGCCATTTACTTGTTCACTCCCAAGGTTTACTTTGTTCAGAAGTGCTACCCACACTCCACTAATGTAATTATGCCCTGCTCCAAAGTGCAGCAAAATAAATGATACAGTTTTATGAAAATAATTTGTTATAAAAATGGGTATTTTTAAAAACCAGGATTTGTCCACATCTGAACTTGAAATTGCCATAAGTCTTCCAGTGAACAGGCAAAACACTTTCCTGACCATTATCTTATGGATGCAGGTTTGGCTTTGAGCTGAACTAGGAAAAGAGATTCAGCATAATTCTGGACCAGAATGTACATGGGAAAATGGATTTCAGCTTTAGTTAAGCCTTGCTCTAAATGGCTAGGAACAATGGATTTGTTTGCAGTGATTACAAGTCTGGGAGAAGACACAAGATTCTACATCTAATCTTGTCTCATCTCCCAGAACCCAAATTGCCTTAAAATTAACTGTGTTTGGCTAAATATTAATTCCTGATTAAAGCCCATAAAACATTTTGTTTCAAGCTGATGATAGTTTTCTATGACCCTTTATATATGAACAAATCTAAGGATCTTTTAATTTATGAATAAGATAGAAAATTTTTATTCTACTATTAATTAATGCAAATTATCCAACTTTTATATGTGCCAAGAGTCTTATAATTCTAAACCTGACAGATCTCAGCAACTACTGTGAGAAATTATCTGAGGATGTTCATACAAGTCACCAACCAGCATGATCACAGTTTGTTGGAAAAATATTATACTTTTTCTTCACGTAGTTGCTTTTTAATGATACCACTTACCAAGCATAGCATCTGTCTCAGCACACATAGCATAATAAAATGCTCTAATATTCTTAATTTCTTTTTCTGTAAATTTCCCAGTGCAGTTTTTTGTATAAGAAGAGTAATAATCTATAGGGTGCATTTCTGACAGAGGTGACCACTTTGGGATTTTGATGGCATCATAAGACACCTAAAAAGGAGAGAAAAACAAAGCTGTAATATTCCTCCCTTCCAACAAGTATGTTGTTTAATTACTTAGGATAGTAGAAAATAATTGTTATGAATTATCTAGAGAAAAAAGTAAATCAAATGCATAAATTAGGAACAAGCTGTCAATATTCCCAGTAACAACAAAAGGTATATATCACTATCTGTATACATAGTGA